TACCTATCTTGAGACTGGATAAGTGAACCAGAACTCATAGACTGGCTAGACTATCTGGCTAGTGATCCCCTAGGACCTGCCTGCCTCTGCTATCCCAGGGTAGGGTTAAAGACATGTGTGACCATACCCCACCTTGACATGCACATACCAAGGATTCAGACTCTAGATCCCCATGCTTGTGCTGAGGCGTTTGGCCTACTAACCCATCTTCCTATTATCCCCAATACTAAGGTAATGTCTTGTCAAGCAGCGAATCCCAGATTTACCTTAACTAATAAATGCATTAATCTACACAGGGGTGGAATTGCTGTATAAATGAAAGAAAATAAGAATGTTTAAAGCATTACAAGCAGTTTCACATACTGCAGAATATGCACTAAATGAAAATGCTTGCTGGATGCAGGGGCACATACCTGTATTCCCTGAACTAGGAAGGTGGAGACTGGAGAATCAGGAATTCAAAGCCACCCTCTGCTAAAAGATGAGAGGAGCAAATACATAGTTTGTCCACATCCCAGTGCCATAATGCAATTAAAAAAAAAAGTTTGTTTCTAAGATTCAAGATTTTGTTATTGCAGTGGGCATGGTCTTTAGATCCCTGCTTAGAAAATGTATATGATAATTATATTTAGTGATGTGATTAGTACTGGTTTTGTAATTCTGCCAAATAAAGATTTATTCCTCTCACTGGTTTTCAAACTTTCATTATGGAATAGCTCATAAAAATAAAAGGAATAGCATAATAAACACTTGTCAGCACCTGGTCAGTAAATATTTCATCTATCTCCTGACACTGTTTTCCATGGAATAACAATAACCAGGTTAATTCAAAGTGAATTCCAGGGACCTCACAATGCCGTTGCTATTACAGCAATAAGAGTTTAAAAACAAGCTGAACCACAGCATCATTATGTCTCCTAGAGAAAGATGGCATCACTGCCTAATGTCAAATTCCTCGGTCGATGCTAGGTCACCCACAAACCAAGTAAGCAAGTATTTACAAGGACCTTGCACACAGGCAGCCATGCTCACAAAAATTAAAGGCTTTGTCTAGGATAATGTTTAAATGGAAACATAAATATGCACAATTCATGTAGGGCGAGCAGCCTTAAGATGCTTAAACTATATAACTACCTGTTAGAAAATGTACAGGAAAAGTTATCAAACAATATAAATCAAGTAGATATATATTGTTTCATTGTATATTGGGCCTGGGTTTGCTGAGCAGTGAGGTGGTGAGAAAATTTCGCATTTTACTTTCTTCACTTAAATTATTTGCAAGAGAATTCTAAAAGAAAGTAAGAGAAAAGGAGGTTTGGAGGAAGAAGGAATGAAGAGGAAAGGAAAAAGAGGTGAAGACAGAGTGGACAGAGGGAGAACAGTTTCCTGAAAACCAGCGGTGTGGTTACGGGAATGATGGGGCCATGATGAGCAGATCCTAGAATGCCACTGTGGCTCCTTGGGAGGTGGCAGTGTGCCCTGCAGATGGACCTGCCTCGCTCCGGCCTCAGCCAGAACCCA